CACGACTCATGGGGAGTTCATTCTGCTACATCACTGCACCAATTTGCGGATGCAGCAGATCGCCCGTAAGACACCATTTAAAATGCAAGTCCTCAATCAAGAGGCTGCACGTTTTAAATGGCAAGCACAGTCGCGACTGCTTTGAAACTGTATAGAACACCTTACAGTAAATCGTTTGCAGGTTTCGTGTAGGCAAAATAGTTGCAGCAGCGACTTAGTGGTATAAGGGAAGAGGCAAGGAGACTTCTAAAAGAAAAGCACTTTAAAGTACCAACCGTAAGTTGGAGGAAGTTTGTACGTTTCTTTTCCAGCTGTATCTACTGCAAAGTACATAACGTGAATGAGCAAATTTCACAAAGCTGACTTAAGAATGAAGCCACGCATCCATGACCAGGAGCTGAAGAGTACACCGTCAACTTCTACCAAAAGTGCGCCTACCTCCCCTTGCAAACGTACTTTCTACTTTAATGTTTTCATCCTCTTTTACTATTGCATATCCCCATTCATTCATTTATCAATCATAAGTGTTTGGTAATAATGGGAAATGTAGCCGAGTTTAGCTAAAGAGAGGTCCGTTTATGAACATACCTAGCAATGGTACTTTACATCAGGAAAACGTTAAACTGCATACAAGCTTGACCTTTGGGGTTCATTGCAGCCTTCAAACGGTTCCGCTGGGTCAACTACTTTAGTGCTTCTAATTGCGTGGCGAGATTTCTACATGTATTTGAAGGCATAGAAGTGACTCCCAAATTGCAGAAAGAGGAGGAAGACAATTCTTAGGCTGAAAAGCGGAATTCACTGTCAATTTTTACGCTTTGAATACGAACAAAATTTGCCAGGCGTCTTGCTTGTTTGCCTCTTTGCAGTTCCGTCTATTTCGTAAGCAATCTGCTTCTTGCCACATAGCAAGCACGTATTTTTCGTTTAAAATACCTCACACGAGGTCACGATTGATCAAGCCAACATCTTGAATCAGAATGTGTTTTTTTCCAAATTTAGTGGTTTTTAATCATCGTCGGGATAATTTTTGAGTCCAGTGTAGGATATGATTTGTGGCAGATGAGATCATCGCCCAATTGACGGTTGCATTTGTCGTCGTTAAGATGGTGTGTAAATAAATTGTGCGTTTGATAAGTTAGAGTGATAGGCGGCTTCATATCCATTCTATTGTAATGGATGATAATCATTTTGGCGATCACTTATCTATCACCTGCACACAGATATGGTCACACATCACAGAAGGAGGGCAAGTAAGACAAGGAGACTAGGCAAGCGACCACTGCGGTGACTAATGGAACTTGTTCAGTCCCCCGCATTTTCGCACCTTCTAGGTCTCATGCTTTCTGGTCTACATGCGTAGATTCCTGATTATTTCCCACCTTGCTTCGGCTGCTTCTTTCACGAAGTTTAGTCAAACCAAGTCTACGGTAATGACTCAAAGCATAATATTGCGGATTTCATCGTATACTACCAGGATATTGCCATGTGGCAGTGGGTAGAACAGGCCGATCCTAATGACAGCCAAGTGGAGGAGTTGGACAGAATCGGTCTCGCCACAAATTTGCTTCCTCACCTAATCTCTGAATAATGTCATTAATTAGCACTGTTTCCCACTTTCCTCATCCCCTCCCTCTGACAACACTTTCTTTATGTCAACCTCTAAACTAAGAGCGTAGCCAATCTGGGGTCATCAGACAATGCAATGGGAGACATAATTCTGTAACGCTTCGTGAGGTCAAATCAGAGAGGTCTGTCTAACACCCCCAGCGTCACTCCACTTTGTGTACGGGAAAGTATAAAGAGAAAGCCATCCATTCGCTCTTACAGTTTGAAATGGCGGTACAATTTTCCCATTGAAATACTTGAGGCGATTCTAACGGAAGAATTCGGATCCAATTTAAAGAAGAAGTAACTGTATTCGTTAATGTCAAATTTTAGTAGGTGTGCGCTGAATGTGCTTGAGTGCTTGTGGTGTTTATCCGTACGCAAAATTGAGAAACAACGAAATCCAGTTTACTGGGTCTGCAAGTCAAAAGTGACGAAAAGTAGCCGAATGCTTCACAGTCACGGTGACTGCTCGTGTGCATGTTCAAGGGGAGGTTGCAGGGGCTCATCGGCGTGACTCATTCACCGATTACTTGTTGTTCCCCCTCTGATATCTGACACAACACGAAACTGGGTAAAGGGAATTGGTAGGTCATATCTGAGCAAACTAATTCACACATATATTTGCGTATTTAGTAAGTTAAGCAGGCCTCAGATGGTCAAATGGCCTTCTCATGAAAGCAAAGCAAACAATGCTGCCCATGCTTAACCAAGCACCCACCTTGAAAACTATTTTAGTGATGGCAAATAGAGTCCACCCCTCATCTTCAGCTATTCTAATGTGGCCACAACCCAGTGACAGAGATCATGACGGAAGATATTGCTGTGCAAAGTTTTGTGCTCTGCTACCAACTACAATGACCGGCAACACCTCCACTGCAAAGCCACTAAAATATTTGAATTGTGCGGAAATAATCTGCAACTGAAGGGCTCCTCCTCAATTTTTGCCGCTGCTGATGATCACATTAAGGCTGTGCGTTGTTTGTCGCTCATGCTCTCAACTACCCTAACTTATGTAGTCTGCACGCACTAGTGTGAATTTTGAGGAACATTATCAGTTGACGTGTCTTGATGCATCATTGGTCATGGAAAATTGAAAATGAACCATCTAAAACAAAAATATTCTCCTTCATCTAGTGTTTGTACCAAATTACAAAGAGTGTGCCTAAGTAAGTTCTGTTTTCCATAAGATGCTAAGCAGGCAATTGGAGAATAACTAATGTTGGTAGAAAATCTGACATAATGTTACCAAGGTAGAGTTGCCACGTCATCCCACACGTCATCTTGTCAGAACTACGATCACGAGACATGCAGCGTTTTGTCACATCGATGGAAAATGCGTGAGCCGAGAGAGTGAGACCCTAAAAGCTGATGTAGTTAAGCTGCATGAATATTTAGGTTCACATGAGAGTAAAGCGGCATGACATCCTCCCACAGATGTAAAAGGGATAATCGAGGCAAAAGATGAGCTAATTCAAAATATTCCGTGAAAGGCAGTAGCATGCTTAGCAATGAACATGTACGGGAACAAGAATTGCCTTCCTAAAAATGTGGCATTAATGTTTAACTTTCCAGTAATATCTGGCAAATTTTGATACATGGCACATTTTACTGGAATGAATCTGTTTTGATTTCTCTAGCAGTCTCATTTCGGCGTTATTACTTGACGTCGAATGTA